TTTATTCGATTTAAAAAATCTCCGAAGTTGTAAGGTCTGCATGTAAGACACCTACTGCTTCAAGTGGGTGTCAGTCTTGCACTAAATCGCTCACTATACAAACTTTTACTTTGTACACAGCCAAAAGAAGTAAAGAAGCCTTCCATATAAGCTTGCCCTATAGTTTATATCACATCTGTTCATATGCTATATGGATATGTAGTCTAAATATACTTGCACTTGCTAACTATTAATAAATATTATTAATTTTATTATTATTATATTATTGTATATATTATTACATATACATCGCATATGTCAAAACTAGATTTATAGTAAAAAGCATGACAGTTAAGCGTAATACCTTAAATGACAGTTATCTGCGTCTGTATAATATTTCATTATCTCCTTTTTTTTAACTATATATATTTTTATCAAAACCTTTGTTCATAACGCTTGTATATTATTTAACATATATTATTTTATTGTGATGAATACTAGTCAACATAGAGTATGCTTTCTAAAATTCAATCATTGATTATGGAGTTTGAATGAATTTAGATTCAACTTCTTGAAATGTTTTAAATGTATATTAAAAATTAATGTGATTAATTACTCAAATCGTTAACAGCAAACATTCTGAAGAATAAATTAATTTATATCTTTAAGTAAAACTCGTTCATGGTGATTTCTTGGAGACTACTTTAGGTTCGAATTTAACCTTCCAGTGAAATACAATAACAAATCAGTTTCTACTAAATTCAGTACTCTCAGAAATTTGATCAAATTCTACCAAATACATACTATTTTAAACTAATTGAGAATTACAAATCAAGTTGTAATTCTCAATTCTTATTAACTTGAATTTGTTTAGTAAACAAATAGTGGACAATTTTAGGTGCATATATTGAATTATAATTTTAATAAATAAGTAATTATAAGGGTTGTATACGATACATATGATCTATTTTATTGTCGAATGTGCATAAACCAACTGATTTTAATAAATTTTTAGTAGACTTAATATGAAAGCACGTAATCAATATCAGATTTAATATTAACATATTATTTGATAAGTTCGTACACGATAACTAATAAAAAGAAAAACAACTATATAGCAAAATTTGAATGTATTCATCAGCGTAGTGTCCTTCAAGAAAAATATAATTATTTCAGTGCCTCTTCAACAGTTTGATGTCCCTCATCTTTGGTTATAAATAAGCATCGCTTTCCGAAACAACTTTTTCATGGTAGCCAACCTCTTTCCTTGGAGCATTCTTTTACGATCTACGAACATATAATAATCGCTAGGAACTAAGTTTGAATATATTAGTTACGGAAGCAATTCGAAGTGTAATTCGTACAATCTAGGCGTGATATCCAAAGACTTCTGACACAACGCATTATCTTGGTGGAAGAGGATTTTTTTCTTCTTTATAGTAGTAGTAGTATTCTTTTTTACACATTGAGAACTTCAGCCTATGAGTGTTAAAAAGTTTCTAATATAATATTTTCTCTATAACGAATTACAGTTTTCACATAGATCGATAACATATGCCAGTTTTCACCATTTAGCAGCCTCATTAACTCGTTCATATCTAACGTTTGTTTTCCAAAATAATGTACCCGTAGCTCCATTAAAATTGGACATTTACTAAGAAAATGTATTACATCGTCCTTTTCTCCAGTATTGCATAGTTTACATCTTCTTCTTTATATAAAATCGTTATTTCACGATTTCCTCCTTTAAGTGCACCAGTTAAGTCATTGCTTTATATAGATATATAAATCCTAGAAACAAGCACTAACAGGACTAAATATAAGTTGTCGGCAGTAATAAGTTGTCGACAGTTATCATTTGAAAGTTGCCACTTTTTAAAATTTATATAAATTTTTTTTTAGTGGCACTGCAAGTGTTGCATCTTACGAACTTATAAGCCATAAAATAAATATTAAAAAATTTAATTTAATTTTATTGTTATGTATACAGAAGATAAAAAGAGATGACAACAGTTATTTTTTTTTTTTTGTTTTTGTCGTTGACATCATTCAAACTGTCCCGGAGTTCTTATTGTATCAAACTTTTTTAATAAAAAAATGAGAAGACTCAGCGATATGCAGGCATCGGTATACAGTCAGGGCACGCTCTTCAATAAAAGAAAATCCTACTATCTCATTGAGATGCCTCTTAGAGATATTAGGCTTGTAGTAGGTTTACTTACAGATCACTGGATTTTAAGTTATCATGCTAGAAGATTAAATCTCCCTTTCAATCATACCTGCCGCAGTTGTGGAGAGGATGATGAAAGTGCTTCTCATCTGTTTTGTTTCAGCCCAGCATATCTGAGGCATTGTCTTACCACTTTAGGGCCTTTCTCTTCTAAAGATCTTGACGAACTACAAGACCTTCCCTTGTATAACATTATAAGCTTTATCAATGGTTCTTAGTGGTGCTAACCCCTGTGTTTTTAATTATACTGTAACATAATGGGCCTTTAGGCCTTAGTGGATCCCTTGGGTTTGCCGGTAAACCCTATCTAAACATAATTTTTTTATATAAAAAATATAGTGCATTTTAAAGTAAAAAGCAAGCATTGCATAAACAAATATTTACTTCGAATTTTAATTGCTTAATTTTATATATACAATATTTTATTAAATTAGCAAATATTTTAAATTGAAAAATGTTATTAAATTGCGAATTTGTTGGAAGCAATTTAACAAATAAAATAACAGCAGAAATGTATAGGAGAAAATGTAGTAAAATGCATTTCATTACCAACATTTTGCCAGTGGCACAGCAATCCAAGTCCAATTTGCACAAGGACACTGAACTCCTGCGGTGCAAGTTAAATACTCGTAGTAGCAACAAAATCAGCAACATTAACTAGTGTTTGCAACAAGAGAAGCAATAAAATTGAATTTACTACAAAATACAAAATACAACAACAATAAACAACAACAACAAAATAAAAAAAATAAATAAAAGTATTGCAATTGTGAACAGAGACGATAACGTTCAATGGAAACCGTTGCCAATGTTGGTGCAACAGTTGCTGTGACTAATGTTGTGCCATTGTTCGGTGTTGCTGTTGTATTTAGTTCCTTGTACAATAGTTGCAAAATTGCTTTGTTGCCAATGTTACGGTTAGTGTTGTCATAGTTGGCGTAGCTGCCGTAGCTGACGTAGCGACAGGATTCAGGATTCCTCGAATTGCTGGCAAACGGACAACGCAACACTGCACTTCATGCAAATAGAGTAGTATTTGCATAAGGCGGCCTCGGCGTTAGCTAGCAGCGCAGGATCTGCAGCATGCTTTATTGACAATATTGCTTTTCTTTGAATGAATTTATGAGGCAATAAGATAAAATAGAAATAAATAAAAATGTACGTAATACAAAAACAAAATGGCGTCACCAGCAACACAGTAACACAGCAACACTGGAGTTTGTAAACAGGAAGCACTACCCGGAAATAATTGTTGAAAAATACTCGTAAATGCCAACAGTTGCACTTTATGCATTCGCTTTGTTGCATTTGTGTTTTTGTTAAGTATGGTCGCTAAATTTTATAAGTATTTTATTATAAATACAAAAAAAAAAGGAAAAAATTTAAAACATTTACTCTATGGTTAATATTGTACCAATGATACTGAGAAGTACCTTTCAATGGTTTTCAAATGCTTTTATAAAGTAGTTTCATTTTGTAGTACTTTATTTTCAACTCAGCAAAACCGACGGATTAACCATGGACATCGTCAATATTCACTGAGCGAGGTATCTTTCATTTTCCGGAGTTAGAAAAATAAGCGTGAAATAAACTATGTTATGAACTAATACCTACAGGGCGTGGATTGGTGTATATAATTCTTAATACAACATATAGAAAAACTGCACATCCTTAACTATAATCCAAAAATATGGATCTAATGGATTCCAGGTAAAGTCGCAATTTCCAACAACGAAATGATAACTTCGCTTCTTGTATTCCCAACATTATTGCTGAGGCTTATAAAGAGATGATAAAGAAAGAACCGAAGCAACAGAGACAATCGATTATCGGACTATCTAGCAGGGATATTACAATTAAAATCGCTAATAGACATTTTCCACCTAAATCAATTTAATTATCGTTTGCAATTAAAAACTATATTTATTGCTAATAAACACTATTAATCTAAATCAATTAAAGTAACCTTACCAATGATATTAAAATCTACACTATCAGAGAGAACAGCGCCTGCCTTGACAAGCTCATCTACCTTGCAATTACTCGAGATAACACTATTTACAGGAACCCAAATTAGTTAAATTAGATAAGAGAGGCACGGCAGTTTTCAGCTATAGTTTATGCGGCTGGAGGCCTCCCAGTGATATAATGGCAGCTTGGCTGTTCGAGAAGATTGAAATAGTTTCATCGAGTATTTGATTGCTAAGGCTGTGTTCTTAAAATTATGAAATTTTTTATCGAGTAAAAAATATTAAAATTATTTTAACACAATGTGAAATAGTTATTCCTTTAAAGAAATATCTTACAAAATTACTTATCTTCATTGGTAAAATAGATGAGTATTAAACCTTTATTATAATTCACTTTTATTAAGTATTAGAACGCCATATCGAATTCACTATAGCACATCTATACTCCCGCTTATTTAACATAAATAATATTCAAAACATTTTTTTGTTTAATATAAGTCATTATATATGTAAATAATAGTAATGCAATATTTAACTATGCCAAAATGTTTTATTTATACAAAAAATAAAGTAAATGGCGGGGAAGTACATTAATTTGAGCCTAAAGGTATGCAATAAACCTAAACATATAATTTTTATATAGTTTTCTTGAGTAGGGCGGGTGTTTTAAACGCAACTATATGTTCATGGTCCTAATAACATTCCTCAGCTCTTATATCATTGTCCGGTAGTATAGTTGATCCATTCTCACGTTGTGGTATTGTTCCGTTAAATTGATATCCTATGTCCTAACTAGTCAGTTGCCTTATTGTCCAGTAATCTTGTCCAGTCTTCTCCACTTTCGGTTTTTAAAAAAATTTTACCTTAACAAATAAAAAATAATCACGAAAAAGTAAATTATTTTTTAGATATGTCTATATACAAAAAATTTAATAAAGAAAGGTCTTAGGTCTATTTGATGAAATATTAATTAAAGTTTTTATTACTTGAACCTAAAATATTTTTTAAATTATATTTTTATTAAATTTATTATTTATTATATTTTAAGAAATATGTTAAAATAAAATTATTATTAATTTCATATTTCAATAAATTATTATAAAATAAATTATAAATGAACTATAACAAAAAAACAACAAAAAATAATTCATAATGTTCCACGACAACCAATATTTAACTTCAAAATTATAGGTAAGTGATAATACTGGATATTATATTGGCCTAGTTCTTTAGTCAATATTGCATTATTAATTTTTTTTTGTCAAATACTTAATATAAACACAACTTTAAACATTTTAATGGAATATAATATTTCTTAAGCGTGTTCAACACATTTTGTCATTAAACTTAAAAGTTTTTAAAGTAAAAACTGTCCAGAAAAGGCTTAATACTACTATTACTACTAAATAAGTAAATCGGTCTTTAACAATGCCAGATTGGGTTTTTAAATGCAATTTATGACGTTACACACTTTTGAGATGTGTGTGTCATTAGCGAATTTTTAGACATGGTACACCCTAAAAACAGGGGCGAAGTTCAACCTCTCTAAAGTAGTAGATCCAAGAATTTTATTCGAGTTTTTAATAATTTAAAAAGTTTTTTATGAGAGTTATAGGATCCAGTAATTTAAAATCTGTATAATCCCTACTGTCTAATACTGGATGTAGATCTCGAATTATATTTGGTTAGAGACAAAATCGTTACCAAAGTGCGAATAACTGGTCAAATAACACCACACCATTCAAAGGAATGAAATATCATAAGTATATGAAATATCCGATACCCGTCTAATGCACCCATTAAAATAATACAAGCATTTCTCTATAATGAAATGATATTTGCGATTGCATTTATTTTGTTTTAAGCATATATGTATGTTTTTATATAAATCAAATGAATTAAATAAAAATTCATTAAAAACTAAAAACTTACCTTCTTGTCTTAATATTAACAACGGATTTAAAAATATATTGTCTCTATATAGTCATGGTGGTATATCTGTATGAACCCGAAATTATTTTAAAAATTCTCATAGTTAAATCAAATCAAATTTTTTATACAATACTTACTAATTTAATTCAACCAAGCATAGAGATTATCAGCTTCAATGTATTTAATGTCCAAAACAGAGATATCAACGTCTATAAACGTTGATATAGAGATAAATACAAGTGTGGTAAATATCGGTTAATAAAATGCAAATAATCTTTTCTGCGATAATCCGTCTTACACCTAGTACAAACACATTTTTTAGCTGGTGCCACGGGCACTAAACGCTTGTACTTAATAAAGGCACCTGGTCTAAATCTTCGCCTCTTCCGGAGTTTATACAGTGGAAATTGTTTAGTTCTCATCGTACGAATTTCGATTTGACTAACAATTAATATATTTAATTGTTTTTACTATTTTGCTTTATAATCCAAAAAAGTAACAATAATTTTGAATTAATTTTTAAAAAAAAAATATACCATCGTCCCGCCTAAGAAATTCAAACGCTGTAGACGAAACAAAATATGATTATAAAAATATAATTTTTTTATTTTGAGTAGAAAATTTTTTTTAAATTTTCTATGAAAACTCGAATAATTCTACAATTTCAATATCAAAAATAAATTATTATGTACAAATATGCTTGTATATATATATATTCAGTACTACTTTTTGCTGAGTACTACACCTTGCGAGTATGAATATGAAGCCCAATGTTCTTTTAGTAGATTTGTATTAAAAAAAAATAGTCATTTTTGGGGAAAAGAAAATTGATTTATCAATTATCGATGGACACTAAAAAATGTATTATTTGATATTGTTTATGGACTGGTGGTACAATTAGGACACGCTTCTTCAAAAAAAAATAATAAAACGAGATAACTATGAAGGACTTATTTTTCCATGCTTGGGTACTCTATACAACATTCTTCGGGTATCAACGTATAATAATTTCCCTGTCTACATGTCTGAATTCTCACAATATATTTCTATACATAAAAAAATCAAGTAATTTAAAAAATATAAAAATTTTATATATTATATATTTAACAATAACATAAGTACCAACCTAAAATCAAACTTTATTGTTGAAATCCTTAAGAACTTTTAATATCTGATCATTTACTAATTTTTTTAAATCTTTAGCCCATATAAAGTCCAAATGGTTAAAATTTTTATGAGCTACCAAATATAATTGTTGCAAATTTGGAAGTTGCTCAGCTAATAGTAGGACATCTTCTTTACTAACTAACAAATCATTCAAGCCGTAATAAATATAAATTGGAGCAGTTATTTTGGACAGATTATAACGCAATGGCAAAGCTGTGCCATACTTATCATAGTTTCCCTCGAGTCCATAATCATAGGCTTGAAATGAGGCACTTTTATATATCTGGTAAAAATGTCTCAATTGCTTTACGGAACCACCGGCTGGATACTGATTGAAAAATATATTCAATTTTGTCTGTAAATATAGAAACTTATAACCAATTATGAATCGTTACTAATTCAATAAATATCTTGGTATACACACTAAATCTAATTGCTCCAAATCTTTTCCAATTAACTCAAATATCATTTGTAAGCATGTCAATTCAAGGAACTCATTTCTAAGGCAATTCAGTTGTCGTAATATACCGAGTGGTAAAAAGTTGCGTATTTCTCGGGAACTATTTTCCTAAAAGTTTTATAAATTTTAGATAATTGTAATTTATATGACTGTTACGATCTAGAGAGAAGATACAATAAAATAGAATTAAAAAGAAGTATTTCTAATAATATACCAGACTATATGGTCTTAATAAAATGTAGCAAATTTTAAAATTTAGTGTCCTATTCATATATCTAATTTTATTTTTAATTCTTAATCTAAATCCGTTAACCGAAATACTCAATGAAATCAAACAAAATTCTGTATCTAATGTCTATTAACATTTCTGATTCTAAAAAAGTAATATAAAAATTAGATTCTTAGTAATACTCCTGTATTCCTGTATCTGAAGTCTATTTACATTTCCGGTTCATTACATTAAAAACTTTTAATAATGTAATTTTGTGGTTTCAGTTCATTTTCCAAAGTACCATTTTTTAAGTGAAGTCTAACAAATTTCGGGCTTTAATGCCTATTCATAAGTTTCTTTTGTGGTCTAAGACCATTTCCTGTAAGACATCTAACAAATTCAGATATCATATGTCTATTTACATTCCATATAGATAAAATAAAAAAATTGCATTCTCAATGCGTTTTTATTGCTCCTATCTATGTCTCTCCAGATTTATGAATTTAATAAATTTTTAGATTTTATATCTGTAGACATATCATTTTTGTGGCTACAGTCTATTTCCTCAAACACTATTTTTGTGGCTTCTCCAGATTAAGTTCCGGATTTTGTTCACAAAGCTTTAAAGGGCTGTGTGTAATTAAAAGTGAATTTGGTACAATAGGACAATTTTGGCCGCAGTACCGGTTGTTGTGCGATTTCACGACAATGGTTTTAATAAAAATAATAATAATAATGCGCTTTTATGGCCCCTGTCTAGTTTCAAAAGTATACTTTTTTCAATGAAATCTAAAAACTTTCTGGTTTTGATGCTAATCCATGTTCCTGATTCTAACAGCACAATTTTTTTTCTTTTAAGAAACCTCCCTAAATTCTAACACAGCTTTAAATTATAGATTAATTTTTTCTTTTTTGACAGAGGAGTAGCCACTATTGTTATTAATTTACCTTTAAGAAGTCTGCAATTGTCTGTAAATACATTTGCTCCACCTGAATATTTTTAAAGTAAGCCATTGGTGATAAAAGTTGGACTACCGCTAGCTTTTCAATATACTCCGGTTTCATTGAGGCCAGTACGAGAAATGCACTTGCACCTTGGGAATGACCCACATAATGCATATACTGAAAAGAAGTATTACTGCGTATGTAATCGATTATGGCGGGCAAGTCCTGCATGCCAATATCTTGAAAACTGAAATTCCAATACAGCAATTCATCAACTGTGAGCTTTTGGTGTTGCTGCGAGTTATTGCTGCCACGGCAATTTGCTAACCAAACGTCGTAATACCCATCCCAAAGTAAATATGCTGTTAAATAAAAAAAAAAAAAATTATGAAAGACTGCTAATAAAAAAAACAAGTAAAAATTTTTTAAAATATTGACGAATATTGTGCAACTTACCCAAACTAATGTTTCGACCCATAATAATAAAATCAGTGGCCGAACCATATAAGCCATGCACAAGTAACACGGGCTGGTGTCCTGCACGCGGCAAACGATGCATTGTTAAAATATAATTGTCCTCCGTAACAACACGATGCGTTTCCATGGTGTAGCCTTGACGTGCAATCAACGTTTCCTGTGGGCTCAAAATATTAATTGAATTTAAAATATTTAAAATGCAACGCTCGTTACAGCAGCGATGAAGTGAGCATCTGGAACAGTACAGACACTAACTCACACAAAAATTAAAGCAATGATCCAATAACGGCACTATTATCAGTAAAACGGTAAGCCATTCATCAAGCTCTCGTTGCTGAATCATTACAGTTTGCACCTTAATACCAAGGTCAAAAGCAATAGCAATAGCAATACCAACGCACCGTGGTCCATAGTTCTTCCATATCGAAATTCTGCATCAGCGCTGCCATTGTTAAATTGCTCGTTTGCAACAAATTCGCAGGTAATTCAATTTTGCTGCCTGTCGATGGCAATGCCAACAACGTTGCCATCATTACCAACATCACCTTCATCACCATCCAGACTATCATCCTTATCACGGTCACTGCGATTTTGGTAAGGGTCGGCGCTGCTCCTGTACGCATCCGGTTTAAATGGAAAATATGAAAGCAAAACTTATCGAAATTATTTAAGGTGCACACCCAGGCACAATGGTCATTAGTTGGACAAACATTGACGATTCCAATGGTTTGCAGGTTGCAATATTATTGCTACGCTTCGCCGTTGGTGGACAAGTATTTGTGCAAAAATTATTCCGCGGTCCGAAGACTTATCTCCGCTGAGTTGTTAATAAACTTCTGCTCGCAAACAAATATTCAAAATATTTTATGAACATATTTGCGCAGAGTAATTAACAATTTATTTGCTTAAATTCATAATTATTTCATTTAATCATTTTAACTGCGCGAGTTCATTAAAACACATTTAAATAATTCCAATTTTAATTTCAATAAACATTTTGCATTAAAAGCACTCGCGAGGCTACATGAGCAGATCTACAATGTAAATACTTTTTGCTTAAAACAATTTTAATTTGCTGTTTACTTTTTCTATATATGAATTATGAAATAAATACATACATAAATATTTGTTTTTATTTAATTATTCAATAACTCTGATAGTTTTATTAAAGTAATTAAAACAAATATTCAATTAAATTCATTTATTGGCAACGTTGCCATGGAAAACCTCTCCGCACAATTTTCAATTTAATATTTTAATAAAATATAATTACAAAAATAATTAATAGAAATAACAAAACTTTTATAATTTATTATTGATAAAGTATTACATAGATTCTTATTAAAGTACTCAAAGAAAATATTTATCCTACTTAAGTAACATTAAGTGTTCAGTTATTGATTTTGCATTATAACCAAAGATAGTACAATGCAATATATCAGATCTTAATGGAAAGTCTAAAAACTATATATTGTCGGAAATATATTGTAGAGTATTATCTCCAAAAAGACTTTGGAATGTTAGCCGACTCTAACTGAACAGACGACACGCAGCTCTTCGAATAAAGCCCAAAATGTCAACTCTTCAGGATTTTCGAATATTAAACTGAGATAAGAATTACCAACCTAATAAACTTCTACTAGTCCAAATCAAAGCCAGAAATTCATAAAGAATATGACCAGAAATCTCATTTACCTCTGAACAGATCCGAAACAGATCCGTCGCCCATATTATGAAGTTGCTTACGCAAACTGTGATATTAAGTTAGATATTTTGCCAATAGCGTTCATAGAACTCGCATCACCCATCAAATAACATATTTTGCTCAAATAGAGTCAAACTTCCATAGCTTGAATTTCTATAACTCGAATTTTCTATAACTCGAACCAAAAACAGTGCACCAAGGTTTTAGAAAGCAAATTACATGCAATTCTGCATGAACTTTTATAACTCGAACAAAAATTTTGTTCCGTGCCAATAGGAATGTGGTAAAGTACTTTCTTTAAATCGAATTTTTGTTTTAAGTATAAATGCAATTTGCTGTAAGGGGAAGTCCCAAAACAAATGTCTAATTTTTCCTTTCTAATGTTGCTTCTTTGTGCAAATGCCAGTCGCTGGTAGCGTGGTTTAAAGTAAATATAATAACTTCCAATGCTACTCTTAACGATTATATTGAGCTTGACAATGAAATTTGTATATATCGAGTTTTCCTACAGATAACGATATTATTGAGCACTATAGCTCTAAATTACTGGATCTTATTTTAAGCGTAACGGAAAGTAATGATGAGGGTTCGGTGGATGTATTTGTTCATCAGCCTGCTAAGAATGAAGTAGAAAACTCATTCAATATTCTGAATTTATATATGCAATCAAATGACAATACAACTGATGATCACAATAAGAGTATGAATAAAGTGAAATCTCTTTTTAATGAAACTGAGGTATATTTTGGATGACTTGATAAATCGTATTAATAAAAAGGTATTTAAATATTGAAATATCGTTGAAATTGGTGTGTCGAGCTAAAAGGGAACTATATTGAAACATAAAATATAATTTTCGAAAAAAATTAGTTTTTATTACTCGGCGTATTTCCCAATTTAACTAAGGTCATAACTTTACAATTACATCCGTCAATAAGTGCGATCCTTTGTTGATTTACATCAAAATTTTTATGTCAATCTCAGAAGTGACACGAAGTTTGTGGTAGCTGTCAAATAAAAGCACGGAAAAAAAAGTTAGTCTAAGAGTATATAATATAATTTGCAATTGGATTTGCATTTCCATTCTTACAAAATTCAGCTAACACAAAAACTAAGACCGATTGGTTATTCAATTAATAGAACGTACTCTGATTGGGTACATTCAGATGAAGATTTCCCACTTTCAATATATGGTTATGCCTACAAACAAAACTGTATGCGTAGCTTATTCGCAAACTTATAAGCATTATGATTATTCAATATAAATCAATTTGTGCACTTACGGACCCTCTAAGGTTCCAATCTCAGCTTATCAAACCGGATTATACCCTGCAAGTTCGGTATTGATCATGTAAAAACCATCCGCATGATAGTAAGAGTAATAAAATTCTGACACAGCACTTCCCACATTACCTTATCATCTGCTTAACTAAACTGTATAAAGGACAAATAACATAATACTTGAGATATACGATGTAATTGAGGATCTTCTAGAAAATCAATGTTCCATTTTTTAAAAATGAAGTGATTCAGCTAAATTGGATATGTAGTCAGAATGAGCTTTTCAAAAGTGCACTTAAATACCACAAAAAAAAAGAAAGCAACCAAGATAACCGGAAAATGTCGAAGCTGATTTACAAACGATGACCTTCAGAAACTGCATACTCTATTCAAGTTAAAGACCCATATGGTGACAATTTATTTTAAATAATCTAAAATTTATTTTATAAATCGTAGGGAAAGCAAATTTTAGTTTAATTTTATCGTATACAGTTAAAGGCGATCTCGTAAGAATCGACAATCTCCAGTTCAGAAGTTGTTTAAAAATTATTTAAAAACAGGTTGAAATACTATAATTGAGAGTTAATATAGTAGACGTAAAATATATGATATATGTAATTTATAATATGTAGATTTAATTTAGACTCAATGTTTAAGACTCAAAGCATGACACTTAAGTCAATAATAATTGAAAATTCATTTTAAATTATTTTCACTTGTGCAGTAATTCAGTATAAAAAAAAAATTATTTACATTAAAATTCAAAAACATTTGAAAGTATTTATTTTTTTTTGAAACTTCATTAAAAGTTTTATTTCTCTTCTGCATAAAATTTTGGATTAACGATAAGTTTCCAAAATTACTTTTACAATTCTGCATTCTTCTAAAGACGGTTTATATATTTTTTTGAGGAACTAAAATCTAAACCGATATATACGAGTATATTTGATACAATATATTTAAGAAGGACGTTATTTAGTCAACTCTCAGAAATTTTCTTGAAAAAAATGGAAAATGGAAAAGCCAAACCAAATCGTCACATTGAATTCGCTCGTAAGTTTCGCAATCGGGATCGTTTTCATACAACGAAAGCAACTTTTGTGTGGGAACATACAAATATACCCAACAGCGGGGATGATCTGTTTGATATAAGTGCTATAATTCCAAAACGCATACGAATTAAGCTTCAAAATGCATGGAATTATCTGCTAAACACTGTTTCCACTTAATGTCATGCAAGCAACCGTGATAGATCTGATTTACCATAGACCTACCACGCCTACCATGATCGCCTTACAAAGATGTTTTGGACTAACCATTAATACCAGTAACATATGCAACTAATCAACTTTACCTAACTAGGCTAAGACTTTGATAAAAATGACATCACCAATCATCTTCTGGTAGTATAACAATTTTACAAAGAATTTCAAGGATTTCGTTACCCTTAGCAAGTTTTAATAACTAAAATCTCAGTTAAAATTTTGAAATAAACAAAAAAAAAATAAATGAAAAATAATAAAAAAACAAAAACCAACGCGTTTCATTTGCAATATCTTTTAAGTCTTTTATTCCTTAAAACGTTGATCTAGAAACATATCTTATTCTTTTTTTGAGCTTTCTGCTGTGATAAATGATACATCAATATTGTGACAAACGATAAACCTTAAAAATGCGATTAAAATAACATCGAGTAAAATTTCCGGCTAACACCAGAGATATAGACTAACTTTAATGATTTAGTGGTTTATTCTAACTGTTGCTGTATATTACTTTCATTTTCATTACATATATTTCTATTGACAGCCAAAGTTTTTTGTTAATATTAGAAGGAACGACTGAAGGCTTATAGGTACATTATATGAAATAAAGTGCATTCAATAGAATGAGATTGAATACGTTCTATTAGGCGTATATTGACTTCTGATAACATGAGGACTGTTCGCAGTAAAATACGAATAAAATACAACTGAGATCGCAACGCTCTTCACACAAAATTTCACAGCAATTTCATAGCTTTCTCTTAAGTCAGTCTGGTGTCAACAGTCGCCAGACGCACTCGTGTGTACTCGTAGCTAATCAACGACACTACAAGCAACTTGTGGAACAGACCCACTATAATCTTGAAACATGGAAATATATACAAACTAAGTCAACTACAATAACAAATATATGTTAAACTCAATGAGACAATGTAATGTACAAGAACCAACTTGTTGACTTAATTTCCTTATTTGCTTTAGTTCCGTAGTGGAAGAAGTTATCCTTCGCGCGTTTATAGCTTAATTAGTTTTCTCAACCAAAAAGTTTTACCTCTCCTTTATGTATTATAAATTGTATCTAAATCTCCCAGAAGTTGAACTTCTTGTGTTATCAGTTTTGTGCGTTATTCTCTTAGTGCCAGAAGTCATACTTCCGACCTCATCAGCTGCCCAAGTTCCATATTTCATACTTCAACTTTTTCGATTGCTTCAGTTCAATATTGCAAACAATTCTACTTTCTTCACATTCATAGGTAATTAGCTTTCTTATGCAAGAAGTTGTTCTTCTCGCTTTTATTTTTTTCTACTTTCTATTTTTAAATGCATGCATCTTATCACGAGTATTCGAGTTTGCTCTGCTGCACCGTTAGACGTTTTTGACAACATGTAAGGATTAACTACAAGAATTACTTAAAGACAACCTAGTAAAAAAGGGCACAAAATTCATATGCTGATTAACCGCTACAACTCTAGACTGCGGTACCCTGAAAGAAAATGATCGAAAAGATGTAATACACACAATAACAGTCGTATTTTTTTGAATACATAAAACTTGATACTTATATATCAGGAGTTTTAATTAAATAAACAATTAGCAATTTATTTAAATATTTTCATTACAATTCTGTTCTTACTAAAATGTTATTCTGCAATCTAACAATTCAAATACGGAGCCCTAGCTCAGCGTGCTTCTGTTCTACTTATACAGATAAGTAAACCCTGCTTACGATAATAGGCAGGGTCCCGATAACCAGCCTACTATATCTTAAATAACATTCTTTTCTTGACAAAACATCAAAAAAATGTATGAATTGATCATTTGCATCTAACCAGAAATTATTGGCAACCCAGAATAAAATATTTCACAGTTAATAATTTTTCTGCAGTTTATTTGAGAATTATTGTCTCTCGATATTTATTTTCAATTCAAATATTCATAGTTCGAGTTATATTATATATGTTTATATGTACATACTTATTATTAATAATTCTTATATAATATAAGATATTATATAAGAATATATAAAAAAAAAATAATGCAATATAGTAAATTATAATTCAAAAATAATATATCAAAATTATATAAAAAATTATTTAAGATTATATAAAAAGTTACATAGCAGGGTTATATAAATATTTATATAATATTGTATAAAAATTATACAATAATATTATATAACAATGTTATATAATAATATTATATAATAATATTTTATAATAATATTATATCAAATATTATAAAAAAATTATATCAAATATTATATAAAAAATTATATCAAATATTATATAAAAAATTATATCAAACATTATAACTTTCTTATATATAGAAGAAATAATCAAGTAATAATACAGAAAAAAACAATTAAAAATTGTTTAAGTATATATCTAATTCCTTCAAAAAGAATTTAGCACACTCGTATATGGTTTAAATGAAACCAAACTCCTTAAGTTCTTTTAGTAGCACTGGACATTCTATTTCGCATATATTGTCACTCATTATTACTCTTGTTACATATACTTTTTGAAACTCGTCTATTATCTTCTCCAAGTAATTTAAAAGCTGCGGATGAAGAACCTTTGGTAAACCTGTTAAGTTCATATGTTTACTTATTATTCTAATTTATATATATGTGAAATAACGAAAATTTACCTGCAAGTTTACAAAAATTTGTAGAGCATACGGCTTTTAATTCAAGAGGATATTGACGAATGTTATTCAGCTTAACACAATCCTCATTACAAAAATCAATATATTCTACCTGAATTTCTGTTTCTTTAACAGCTATTACCTTAGCTCGATACCATTCTCCTTCGAACAAAGCGATACAATATTCATGCAATCTAGGATTTCATATAACAATCATCATTATATAATATTGGAATACCAATCATTTTCAAAAATTCCTTACACTGGTTTATACGGTGGCCCGTCTTTTTTTATTTGAGCCAAAAACGATTGCATTTCCATAAATGATTCAAAATAGAAATTAGGAATACAAGCAAACATTCCGTCTCCAATACAACTTTTGTCAATTATAACCGCCTCAAAATTAGTATGATTCTCAGTGAACTTGATTATTTCAAAAGGCTTAATAATAACAAACAATAAATATTAGATGTTAAATAATAAAAACAAAAATTAATTAAACTAATTTGTTTGTTGCATTAAACTTACTGGATTAAGTACACGTGCATTAAAATTTTGTTCATCATTTTGGTACTTTAATTCAGTTCTATTCGATTGACTCTTCAATTGTTTTTTATCAAAACTTACTTCCTGAGTCTGAGCGAGATCATCGTTATTTATCTGTTCATTATCATTATACTTCTGCTGGTTTCTCTTTTGATTTTCTGAACGCTGTTGCTGGTGATCTTCATCACAAAACCGAACACCACACATTTTTTCTTTAGAATCAGGATTTACCTTTTGAACTACTACTTGAATTCGGTCTTGTTGACTACAATACTGTTGATCCCCGTATTGACGATTTTTAGGGTAATCAGAGCTGCGTCGTGACTGTACATTGTTGCGATCTTGTTTTGATTTCTTTTTATAGTTTTCTTGAGCTATATTGGCGTTGTGTTGGTCTTTGCCAACATTGTTGGTAATTTGAGGACCGTTTTTACCATAGTTACCAATGTTACCAGAGTAATGGTTTGACTTTTTCTTATCATGTTTATTACCTTCATAAGGCAAGCATATTTCTTGTTCTTGTTGTTGTTGAAAACTATTGTCAGAACGCTTTTGATTTTCATTTGCACTTATATACTGGCCATTACGGTCATTTTTGTCAAATGTTAAATTATCTTCTTTCGTGTAATTATTTCGCAATGCTCTAGACATTTGCTGTGATGCGTAATCAAGCTCTGCGAACGGCACCAAGTTTCTATAAATTAAGAGAATCATATATATAACTACTTTAATATTTAAAGCAAATAAAATGTTATTTACGGTGTTCTGAAGCAAATACTCCGATGATGATGCCAATCTACTTTTTGACATGAAAGCGAACAATAAAAGGAGCCACAATTGCCGCAAGCATAAGGAGCGTCGTTTCCACATTTCACACAATTTACCTTTTCAGACATTTCTTCACTATAGTAATTGTAATTAAATGTATTTATAGATTAGAGTAGAGTTTAATACTTTAAACACACTGTGTCTAATTAACTCTTTTCTACAAATAATCAATTAGATTATATTAAACGCCAAATCTCGCCAGCTATGACGTAACTGAAGTACTAAGAAACCCGAACAGAGATGTTACGCAGTGCCCATAAATTTTATTTTAGTCAATACCTACCAAATACACCACATTGTCTGTATCCACAAGGAATGTACACATTATATATATATACATATACCCATCTTGTTTAAATTTGATATTAAATTCATATTAATCATTTTTATAAGCAATTATAAACTTTAAACAAATTTTAAATTAACGTTAAGTTATCTATTAAGAAACTATACTTTTTTGTGGTCTTATATACCACAAACTTTTTGGTCTTATAACAAAAAGTCGGCTGTTTTATGGCATTGTTCAGTGCATCATCATTACATCATGTTCCCATACTCTGACAATGCAAATTAATTAAAAAACGAAAAAGTTATTTCAAGTGTCTTCTTATTTACAACTGCTAATCTATTAAAATCTTTAATAAATCTTAATCTTTAAATTTTAATATCAGTGATGACTGTCATAGCAAGGATTCTTCATAGATTCATGATATATTTTTCAAAATTATACGATAGAACTATAAGCAGAGTATAAATACACACATTGAAGAACATAACTAAGAGCATCTAACTCTGGTAATTATGAAATTAATTAATATATATATATATATGTAACTGTTATTACATATTTTTATATGTATACATAAGTCTTTATGCTAGTTTTTACTGTTAATAAAATAAAACTCTTAACATACGTTTATTATTTTTTATGTTTACTATGTAAACCTTGTTGGATCAGCTGATAATATCGCTGTTTACACTTCCAAGAAGTATGGATGTAGAAATTGTTTCACTTATTGTTGCACGCTAGCAATAATAAACAAAACATTTCCCCATGACTTCAATTAATACCTTACTAAATTATTTTAAATTCTTAGTGTTGAGAATTACGATCACTTTTATGTCTATTGCGTTAACACCTGTATATTGATGGTTGTAGTCTGTGATTTTGCTTTTCGATTTTCAAAAAACTATTAATGTAATATTCCCTTGAATCTGATAAATATAGAAGGAAAATATGTACTACGGTATATTCAGAACACAATTATTCACATTTGTCATGATACATAATTGAATTTACATTAACTGAGTATATGTTTTGTTAAACGGTGTAGTGAAAATAATTATGTTGTTAATTCATGTATTATACAACAAGCCATAACCGCGGCCAGAAACATAGTTTTTGACTGAACACTGATTTCTTATTTTGTAATTCGTTATACCTCATCATTGATGTAAAACTAAAGGATTTCTGTTTAAAAGTATATATCAGAAGATGTCAATACCAAAAGAATTCAATTCCATACTGTCTTTCTTTTAAACATGGCTTGATGTCAATCACATGAATCGAAGGAATAGTGTAAGGACTGTGTAACTAACAAACGAATAAATAATGTATTTACACTTATATATATGAAAATGGTATTTTTGGGAATTTTTTTCTTATTTTTTAGTTAAAAAAATTCACATCATAAATAAATTTATTTTGCATATCCTGAGTTATGTGCAGTAAACTTTTTCTTTATGAAAAGTCATTAAATAAAGTACAAAGAAGGGTAACACTTTTACTTTCGTTTCTGCTTTGCCGCTGTTCTTTAGAATTGATTTCTTATGTGGTCACATTAATTATTGTTGTTAAATTGTGCACTTTTCGCGAAATTGCTGAAAAGATAATATGTTAGCAGCAAAGAAGAAACGAAAAGAAAAAAACAAAAACGTGCTTACTTAACAGCTGAGCACGGAGTTTTTGATTGCTATTTGTTGATTATTCATTAAAAATGTTCAATTAAATAAAATAGTTCTTAAAAGGCACAATTTGGTAGGTATTGACTAAAATAAAATTTATGGGCACTGCGTAACATCTCTGTTCGGGTTTCTTTGTACTTCAGTTACGTCATAGCTGGCGAGATTTGGCGTTTAATATAATCTAATTGATTATTTGTAGAAAAGAGTTAATTAGACACAGTGTGTTTAAAGTATTAAACTCTACTCTACTCTACTCTACTCTATAAATACATTTAATTACTATAGTGAAGAAATGTCTGAAAAGGTAAATTGTGTGAAATGTGGAAACGACGCTCCTTATGCTTGCGGCAATTGTGGCTCCTTTTATTGTTCGCTTTCATGTCAAAAAGTAGATTGGCATCATCATCGGAGTATTTGCTTCAGAACACCGTAAATAACATTTTATTTGCTTTAAATATTAAAGTAGTTATATATATGATTCTCTTAATTTATAGAAACTTGGTGCCGTTCGCAGAGCTTGATTACGCATCACAGCAAATGTCTAGAGCATTGCGAAATAATTACACGAAAGAAGATAATTTAACATTTGACAAAAATGACCGTAATGGCCAGTATATAAGTGCAAATGAAAATCAAAAGCGTTCTGACAATAGTTTTCAACAACAACAAGAACAAGAAATATGCTTGCCTTATGAAGGTAATAAACATGATAAGAAAAAGTCAAACCATTACTCTGGTAACATTGGTAACTATGGTAAAAACGGTCCTCAAATTACCAACAATGTTGGCAAAGACCAACACAACGCCAATATAGCTCAAGAAAACTATAAAAAGAAATCAAAACAAGATCGCAACAATGTACAGTCACGACGCAGCTCTGATTACCCTAAAAATCGTCAATACGGGGATCAACAGTATTGTAGTCAACAAGACCGAATTCAAGTAGTAGTTCAAAAGGTAAATCCTGATTCTAAAGAAAAAATGTGTGGTGTTCGGTTTTGTGATGAAGATCACCAGCAACAGCGTTCAGAAAATCAAAAGAGAAACCAGCAGAAGTATAATGATAATGAACAGATAAATAACGATGATCTCGCTCAGACTCAGGAAGTAAGTTTTGATAAAAAACAATTGAAGAGTCAATCGAATAGAACTGAATTAAAGTACCAAAATGATGAACAAAATTTTAATGCACGTGTACTTAATCCAGTAAGTTTAATGCAACAAACAAATTAGTTTAATTAATTTTTGTTTTTATTATTTAACATCTAATATTTATTGTTTGTTATTATTAAGCCTTTTGAAATAATCAAGTTCACTGAGAATCATACTAATTTTGAGGCGGTTATAATTGACAAAAGTTGTATTGGAGACGGAATGTTTGCTTGTATTCCTAATTTCTATTTTGAATCATTTATGGAAATGCAATCGTTTTTGGCTCAAATAAAAAAAGACGGGCCACCGTATAAACCAGTGTAAGGAATTTTTGAAAATGATTGGTATTCCAATATTATATAATGATGATTGTTATATGAAATCCTAGATTGCATGAATATTGTATCGCTTTGTTCGAAGGAGAATGGTATCGAGCTAAGGTAATAGCTGTTAAAGAAACAGAAATTCAGGTAGAATATATTGATTTTTGTAATGAGGATTGTGTTAAGCTGAATAACATTCGTCAATATCCTCTTGAATTAAAAGCCGTATGCTCTACAAATTTTTGTAAACTTGCAGGTAAATTTTCGTTATTTCACATATATATAAATTAGAATAATAAGTAAACATATGAACTTAACAGGTTTACCAAAGGTTCTTCATCCGCAGCTTTTAAATTACTTGGAGAAGATAATAGACGAGTTTCAAAAAGTATATGTAACAAGAGTAATAATGAGTGACAATATATGCGAAATAGAATGTCCAGTGCTACTAAAAGAACTTAAGGAGTTTGGTTTCATTTAAACCATATACGAGTGTGCTAAATTTTTTTGAAGGAATTAGATATATACTTAAACAATTTTTAATTGTTTTTTTCTGTATTATTACTTGATTATTTCTTCTATATATAAGAAAGTTATAATGTTTGATATAATTTTTTATATAATATTTGATATAATTTTTTATATAATATTTGATATAATTTTTTATATAATATTTGATATAATTTTTTTATAATATTTGATATAATATTATTATAAAATATTATTATATAATATTATTATATAACATTATTATATAATATTATTGTATAATTTTTATACAATATTATATAAATATTTATATAACCCTGCTATGTAACTTTTTATATAATCTTAAATAATTTTTTATATAATTTTGATATATTATTTTTGAATTATAATTTACTATATTGCATTATTTTTTTTTTATATATTCTTATATAATATCTTATATTATATAAGAATTATTAATAATAAGTATGTACATATAAACATATATAATATAACTCGAACTATGAATATTTGAATTGAAAATAAATATCGAGAGACAATAATTCTCAAATAAACTGCAGAAAAATTATTAACTGTGAAATATTTTATTCTGGGTTGCCAATAATTTCTGGTTAGATGCAAATGATCAATTCATACATTTTTTTGATGTTTTGTCAAGAAAAGAATGTTATTTAAGATATAGTAGGCTGGTTATCGGGACCCTGCCTATTATCGTAAGCAGGGTTTACTTATCTGTATAAGTAGAACAGAAGCACGCTGAGCTAGGGCTCCGTATTTGAATTGTTAGATTGCAGAATAACATTTTAGTAAGAACAGAATTGTAATGAAAATATTTAAATAAATTGCTAATTGTTTATTTAATTAAAACTCCTGATATATAAGTATCAAGTTTTATGTATTCAAAAAAATACGACTGTTATTGTGTGTATTACATCTTTTCGATCATTTTCTTTCAGGGTACCGCAGTCTAGAGTTGTAGCGGTTAATCAGCATATGAATTTTGTGCCCTTTTTTACTAGGTTGTCTTTAAGTAATTCTTGTAGTTAATCCTTACATGTTGTCAAAAACGTCTAACGGTGCAGCAGAGCAAACTCGAATACTCGTGATAAGATGCATGCATTTAAAAATAGAAAGTAGAAAAAAATAAAAGCGAGAAGAACAACTTCTTGCATAAGAAAGCTAATTACCTATGAATGTGAAGAAAGTAGAATTGTTTGCAATATTGAACTGAAGCAATCGAAAAAGTTGAAGTATGAAATATGGAACTTGGGCAGCTGATGAGGTCGGAAGTATGACTTCTGGCACTAAGAGAATAACGCACAAAACTGATAACACAAGAAGTTCAACTTCTGGGAGATTTAGATACAATTTATAATACATAAAGGAGAGGTAAAACTTTTTGGTTGAGAAAACTAATTAAGCTATAAACGCGCGAAGGATAACTTCTTCCACTACGGAACTAAAGCAAATAAGGAAATTAAGTCAACAAGTTGGTTCTTGTACATTACATTGTCTCATTGAGTTTAACATATATTTGTTATTGTAGTTGACTTAGTTTGTATATATTTCCATGTTTCAAGATTATAGTGGGTCTGTTCCACAAGTTGCTTGTAGTGTCGTTGATTAGCTACGAGTACACACGAGTGCGTCTGGCGACTGTTGACACCAGACTGACTTAAGAGAAAGCTATGAAATTGCTGTGAAATTTTGTGTGAAGAGCGTTGCGATCTCAGTTGTATTTTATTCGTATTTTACTGCGAACAGTCCTCATGTTATCAGAAGTCAATATACGCCTAATAGAACGTATTCAATCTCATTCTATTGAATGCACTTTATTTCATATAATGTACCTATAAGCCTTCAGTCGTTCCTTCTAATATTAACAAAAAACTTTGGCTGTCAATAGAAATATATGTAATGAAAATGAAAGTAATATACAGCAACAGTTAGAATAAACCACTAAATCATTAAAGTTAGTCTATATCTCTGGTGTTAGCCGGAAATTTTACTCGATGTTATTTTAATCGCATTTTTAAGGTTTATCGTTTGTCACAATATTGATGTATCATTTATCACAGCAGAAAGCTCAAAAAAAGAATAAGATATGTTTCTAGATCAACGTTTTAAGGAATAAAAGACTTAAAAGATATTGCAAATGAAACGCGTTGGTTTTTGTTTTTTTATTATTTTTCATTTATTTTTTTTTTGTTTATTTCAAAATTTTAACTGAGATTTTAGTTATTAAAACTTGCTAAGGGTAACGAAATCCTTGAAATTCTTTGTAAAATTGTTATACTACCAGAAGATGAATGGTGATGTCATTTTTATCAAAGTCTTAGCCTAGTTAGGTAAAGTTGATTAGTTGCATATGTTACTGGTATTAATGGTTAGTCCAAAACATCTTTGTAAGGCGATCATGGTAGGCGTGGTAGGTCTATGGTAAATCAGATCTATCACGGTTGCTTGCATGACATTAAGTGGAAACAGTGTTTAGCAGATAATTCCATGCATTTTGAAGCTTAATTCGTATGCGTTTTGGAATTATAGCACTTATATCAAACAGATCATCCCCGCTGTTGGGTATATTTGTATGTTCCCACACAAAAGTTGCTTTCGTTGTATGAAAACGATCCCGATTGCGAAACTTACGAGCGAATTCAATGTGACGATTTGGTTTGGCTTTTCCATTTTCCATTTTTTTCAAGAAAATTTCTGAGAGTTGACTAAATAACGTCCTTCTTAAATATATTGTATCAAATATACTCGTATATATCGGTTTAGATTTTAGTTCCTCAAAAAAATATATAAACCGTCTTTAGAAGAATGCAGAATTGTAAAAGTAATTTTGGAAACTTATCGTTAATCCAAAATTTTATGCAGAAGAGAAATAAAACTTTTAATGAAGTTTCAAAAAAAAATAAATACTTTCAAATGTTTTTGAATTTTAATGTAAATAATTTTTTTTTTATACTGAATTACTGCACAAGTGAAAATAATTTAAAATGAATTTTCAATTATTATTGACTTAAGTGTCATGCTTTGAGTCTTAAACATTGAGTCTAAATTAAATCTACATATTATAAATTACATATATCATATATTTTACGTCTACTATATTAACTCTCAATTATAGTATTTCAACCTGTTTTTAAATAATTTTTAAACAACTTCTGAACTGGAGATTGTCGATTCTTACGAGATCGCCTTTAACTGTATACGATAAAATTAAACTAAAATTTGCTTTCCCTACGATTTATAAAATAAATTTTAGATTATTTAAAATAAATTGTCACCATATGGGTCTTTAACTTGAATAGAGTATGCAGTTTCTGAAGGTCATCGTTTGTAAATCAGCTTCGACATTTTCCGGTCATCTTGGTTGCTTTCTTTTTTTTTGTGGTATTTAAGTGCACTTTTGAAAAGCTCATTCTGACTACATATCCAATTTAGCTGAATCACTTCATTTTTAAAAAATGGAACATTGATTTTCTAGAAGACCCTCAATTACATCGTATATCTCAAGTGAATTGTTATTTGTCCTTTATACAGTTTAGTTAAGCAGATGAAAAGGTAATGTGGGAAGTGCTGTGTCAGAATTTTATTACTCTTACTATCATGCGGATGGTTTTTACATGATCAATACCGAACTTGCAGGGTATAATCCGGTTTGACAAGCTGAGATTGGAAACTTAGAGGGTCAGTAAGTGCACAAATTGATTTAAATTGAATAATCATAATGCTGATAAATATCTCAATATGGTGCGTATAGTATCAATACATAGTGTCCAGAGGTAATCCAGGGGTAATCGATTTTATTATGTTGGATCAGGTATTTGAGAGGTTCCACAATATACCATTAAGCAATTTTTGTGTGTAGTTTTTATTGACAAGTGTCAAGAACCTTGCACCTATCCCTTGTTGTAATTTATAGATAGAAAACTTATTTAGATCAAGTGGAAATTACATTTTGTTGAGTTATAATGCAGTAGTAATGTGTTGCGATATACAATATATTTTATTATAATAGATATTCATTTATCCGTTTAGTGTGCTATTGTTGGAGTTAGATAATTTCTGTGGTATCATTCGTAAAAGTTTTTAAATTAAATCAATTTTTTTGGCTTTATTAGAAATGGTATTTGTTTTTGTTCTTAAAAGGAGAAGTTAAGGGACTAATGATAAGGAGATAAATGTGATAGTTATATATATATCCAATATGTGAAATCATAATAAAGTTTATGTATTAAGCGTGGGTAATATTGAAGTTCATTGAAGTGTAGGTAATTACATATCGCTTGTGCTTAGTAAGCGTTACATATCGCTTAGTAGTAGTAGTGAGTAGAAGATTTAATTAGAAGAATTAACTATTTAATGTCTTCGTAAAATAACAAATTTAGCTATTTTTTTACTGCAAGTCTTCCTTTAGATAATTTATTAGGATTTGGTTTAAATTTCATTTATTAGTCAAGCAATTTTATAGACATACATAAACAGTCGTGTACTCTTAAAGAAGAAACAAAGTTCACCACACTCGTAGAGATTAATTGCTAGAATTAGTAGAAATAGTTAGATTTACAGCTCAGTAGTTTTAGTATTCAAAAAAAGAGCAGAATATAGAAGTACGGGATAAACACTGATATTGAAAAATGGATAGTAAATTTGTATACATAATTGTTTGGTAAATCATCAATCAAACACTAAGACTTGACAAACTTGTGCGCCTTCAAAATTGTGTTAGGAACAATACACTGGCATCGCCCAGTGATTAGTCCACCAGTTTCAAGTGATTATTTTTATAAAAAAGCCATAAAAACCTATTCAGATGGTTTCCCTATTTTACTGGTGCGAAATCATGTCCATTATCATTGGTCACGTTACATATACCATATATATGTATATTATATATTTTTATTTAATATATTTTTATTTAAATCATTATTTCGACTATATTCTATAGTCATCTTTAAGGTACACTGAGTGTCTTATTCAACAACTGACCAATTAGCCCGGTTTAAAAACAAAATTGTGATTA